GTATAATATCTATGTCCTAGGCCTCTCCTAGTTTTATATTTCTGCTGTCTGTTGGTTTTGATCGTAACGGTGACGATAATCTCGATAAATTATTAATGTAATTCTCAGAAATATAACGTGAGCTTGCGTTACTTTCAATAGGGTTTATTTTTATACCAGACGTTTTTGTTTGTGTTCATCGCATCGCGTGGTCCACTCGTATACGCGTTGCTTTATTTTGCGAGGCTCCAAACAAGAAATATATAATAGAAAATAAAACTCAGGATATTCAGTACTTTTATGACTAGTGATATTCAGTACTTTTATGACTAGTCAAAAAAAACTAGTCATAAAAGTTTTATTTTCTAGTTAACAAGGGATGTGTTTTTTGTCTGTATTTATTGCCATATATACAATGAGCTAGCAAATAATATGCTCTGCACACAGCAACGTTTATTCTTTGAAGACAATGGTGCAGTCTCCACAGATTCAAAGTTTGCCAAGTCTAACTTGGTAAAGAAAATATCTATAACACAAAGATAAAGATGTTTGTGGTATAGATATGTACTCAAAATAGGTGTACAGGTAGCTAGGAGAGAACTGGACCCGTTAAAAATTTTGAATTGCCTCCATACAAAGAATAAACAACTTATTTGTGTTTTAACATTGAGTTTTTAGTATATGCCCTACATTGCTACTCGATAATTATTTCCTGTTAGACATACATAAAGAGGGCATTGAAAAATAGAAGTGAAATTTTAGCAAATATAAATGATGAACTTAACTCTTATAACCATATTAAATTCTTTTAATTATAAGAAAATTTCTGAATATTTTTGAATACCTAGTCCTAGAATTTTCATTCTTTAAATTCAATATGCAACTCCTGAAAATTAAAACGGAGCTTTTGGGTATTGCCTAAACCACTGGGCTAAATTAACAACAACCCACCCTTAGACCTACGGCCCCCGATTAATGCTTCACATAAAAGGCCCTGCCTAGAGGCAGTTTATTGTGAATAATCGATTTACCTTTAATGGCGAAAGTTAATTTGCATATTTATGTAAATTAGGCAACTTCTGGGTGGTCATTTAGCAAAACCTTATAAACCAGAATCAACAATAATACAATACGTTTGTTTGACTCTATTTTCACCTAAATCTGCTCATCTATATGATAATATTTAAATAAAGCAATAACATTGAATTATGTTAAATACAGACACAATGTTCTAGAGTCAAGTTAAAATATGTAAATATGTATCAAAATAATATACAGTACTTATATAAATATTATGCGTAAATATGTTTTTAGTATAATAAACTTCAACTTTAGGCACATTGTTTATTAATTTTCCTGTATCGCCTGAGGATCAGTTAATGTTATTAACAGCATATGAACACTAGAGATCGTAGGATGAATTTGTGTTTTATTTCTACATTTTGATAACAAGCCAGGGAAAACACTCATGCCAGTTTAAACCACTCTCAAAAGTTTCCTTAGAAATGTTAATAGTTTATATAAACATTTTGATTCCTCAGTACTAGACTTGGCGTTAAGAATTTTGAAAACAATTATAAAGCAATTACTCATGCCATTTTGGTAATTTAACCTTTGTTATGGGTAGTCGAGCCACAGACTTTCCAAAATTCATCTAAGCGCGAAATCAAAACAAACACTTACTTGATGACTTACAAAAAGATCACCTTGATTATATATACGTATATATATATATACGTATATATATATATATATACGTATATATATATATATATATATATATATATTTATATATTAAAGAATCTCTATTGAGATCCAGCGGGCTGCCATTGATGCACGGTAGAGATTGCATCTTTAGATCTCCGATTTTCTTCACAAATTCACGGACTAGTGCTGTCTCGTAAGAATTTTGTAGGACGCGTTAAGAATGACAAAATATTCTCTGAATCTACTGGAACCGAGCCACATAGCTTGTATTCCACTATTTGCATTCACACCTGGGCTGTGTATATATATTGCCTTGGTTTGGCTCTGTAATCATTAGTGGTCGAGGGACTAGTTTGGGCCCTACCTAAGCTGGTCGGACGTTTCGTTTGGGTCTATAGCCTAGCTGCACTGATGAGGCCTGGAAGGCTTAGTTTATTTTGTCATTCTGATCGGATTTTCTCTACTGTTCCGTTTTAATTT